CTGGGGGGAGTTGGCCAGGGGGGCAGCGATCACTGCTCAGGGATGGGATGGCCATCAGTCAGCAGGTAGCAAGCAATTGCCTTGTGCATCACTTGCTTTGTGTAGTCTGGATAATCTATTATTATTACTCTTTTTCTCTGCTGTTTTATTAAACTGTCTTTATGCCAACCCATAGGTTTTACCTTTTTTTTTTCCGATTCTCTCCCTGATCCCACTGAGCAGAGGGGAGTGAGTAAGTGGCTGTGTGATGTTCAGCTGCCTGCCACGCTAAACCACAGCAACTATTCATAAGAATAGCAATGTCTTGACTGGAATGTGTATTTTACTAGGTAAAAACTGACTGTTATTTTTCAGTTAACTAATGAAGAAATATTCTCCTGATTGCAACATGATAAACTACTGCCTTTTTTCCTGCTGGTTAATAAAGAAAAATAGATTGTTTTTTCTCACAGAACAATTTTCAGTTTCTATAATACAAGCTAAACTTTGAATGGGAATAAAAACAGGGTTCTTGACTTTTAAAATTGCATGTTTTTTCTCTAAATGTCAATGAGCTTTGTCAATATTAACTAATGTTCTCCCTGGTACAAAGAAATTCTTTAAACTTTTTGTTTAAAAATGTAGATATCCCCAGGGATCCTATTTACCTCAACCATTCACTTCATGTTAATGATAATTATGCAATATGTCTAAATACTGTTTCCTGAAGACATTTGCCATCAAGCTGATGTGAACATTACTTCAGAAAAATCTTCTAAATAGAATTAATGATACTTTTTCATTTGGCTGTGTAATTTCCATGAAGACTGGTATCACTAGAGGGAAAGCCATTTGGACTGCATTCAGTTTTCATGTATGAGAGATTCTGACCCAGTGTTTACAAGCCTCTCACTGTTATGTTTTCACATTAAAATTGTTCCAGTATCCTTACAATGAGTTCAGATAAATTCCTCACTATTGGTGAATTTATCCTGAATTGTTTCAATTCTGTGGCACCAGTCACCTGACTCAACAAATGAAAACCGAGCAAGAAAGTCTACAACCATCACTTAACTTCCGTAACTTCTTCCTAACAGCAAACCCCAGCGCCTGGGTAGGCATTATTATTTATGCATGCAATTCTACCACAGGACAAAGCCACTTAGCAACAAAAGCATGTCTTTATCTTAAACCCTTGCTGCAGTCTTGTGAAAATATCTTATTTCCATGCATCTCCTATTCCAAGGCTAGGCTCAGAAGCATACATTTACTGAACAAGCAAACAAAGGAATAATATCAAAGTGATGTACTACAAGAATCTAGACCAACTTCACTGCTGAAAAGCAATTTCCTAGACCACAGTAATCAAATCCATGTATTTATACACAGTTTACTTCCAAATTAACACAAGCAGAGTCACCTGCACATAACAATTTAAACACTTTGATACAAAATTTAATCTCCCTTAGAAAGAAGGCCATTTAGTCAATTTACCAGTGCTAAACAACCTACCTGCATGCAAATTAAACCAAATTAAATGGTTTCATAAGTAAAAGTTAACTTGTTTCACACAGCCCCTTACAGGAAAACACTGTTGCTTCTTTAAATGGAAATGGGAAACTTGTTAGCAATTTTGTAACACGTTGGGAAAACAGCATAGAAAAGTAAAAGCTAAGTTTGACAGAAGAATGAAAGGCTGTAAAATGGTTCTTATCACATAATGCCATTCCTGTCAAACCTGGGGTGTTTTTGGTTGATTGGTTGTTCTTAGCCTGTTGTCCCTGAGGGGCAAGGTCTCATTAATAAACAGTTCAACAGTAAATCTGACTGATAACCAGTGATAACTCAGTTATATCCCTAAGCATTAAACAAGTCGGATATTAAAAAAGCAGATCAAATAGGAAAATAGATATACACAAAAAAATCTCATAAGGTTAAGTTTATTACAGCTATGCAAAATATTTGTATTTATACCAGATGCTGTACCAAGGTTGAAACTGAGAAGGGTAGAAGGCAAAATAATCAAAATTTAAGACCAGATTTGTCAAAATAATGTTCTTCTATTTTCAAATATATATAAATTGGTTTTTGTGGGTTTTGGGTGGTTCTCTTTTTTAATGAGAAGCTCAATATTCCTATTACATTTACCTGTTTTGACCGGCCTTGAGATTTTGTTTTTCTGTGGATCCTTGAACCCAGGTGAAATGAAGTAACAACTAATTGACATTGCTGATTCATTATACAACCGTAGAACACTTTCAATCATCAGCTATGAATGCTTATGATAGATGTGCATCTCTATTACCAAATACAGATCTGTTGCTGTGCTCTTGTTCTTGTGTGAGATAGTTCTCAGTTTGCAAAGTCTTCTCTTTTTTTAAGATTAAGAACTCTAATAAGCATCTTAAGTCGCCAAAAAAAGAAAAAAGTCCACAGACCTGGCTTAAATCAACACTTGTAGTTTATTTAGAAAAAGTTATGAAGAGAAACTTGGAAATAAACTTAAGGCTAGAAGTAATCTAGAAAATAGAAAAAAATCAATTAAAAATTATTATACACCATGGATTGCATCATCCACAGATCTGGAAAACTTTATTAGACAACTGAAAGTCAGTAACTATGAAACCTACCAAAACACAGGTCAAAAGGAGGCCTAGAGAAATGCCTAAGTTAGTTTTCAGAGATGCAGTGAGCTACAGAAACATTAGTCATCTCTCAGATTCTCTGAACTCCTTAATAGCAAGTCTCACTATTTCTGAAAAACTGCAAAAAGAGCAATTCTGGACAGTCACAATATCAAACCTCAACATTTCTGAACACCGAGAAACAGCATCTCTACTCTTCCCCACTCCTAGCTTTCCACGCTCTCATTATTTTTTATCCTTTGTTACCCATAATGTTCTGAAAAAGAAGTTTGAAAAAAACTAACGTCCAGCTTCCAACCCCAAAACATCTTTGTCAATCTGATAAATATTTGAGTTAGTTCAGAAACAACCTGAAAGATAAGCTTTTCCTTTAATAGTATCAGTAAAGCACCTCCATGCAAAAGGGAAAGATGAATTAAGGTGCCACATGTCCAATTCTGGAAGAGGCATAGAGATTAAACATAAGAGAACTTTTCACATACCTGTTCTTCCATCAAAGAATTAATCCCAAGGACTGCTACAAGAAGCCTACATCTCAGTATCCTCACTTTATGGAAGATCAAGATTAGAAGGATATTATGTGTCTCTTTAAATTTCCCCATAACAAAAACATTCATGAGAAAGAAAAGAATTAACAGATGCCAGTAAAACTCTAAATCCTCTCCTAGCACACAAAGCAAAGCTTTCAATAGCCCCAATGTTACTTTTGAATCCTTCATTAGTTATGGATTCTCAGGTGATCCTGACACATCATTCTACTAATGCAGGTCCAAATTTATTGCATATCATTCTGACTGGACAGAGTTTTGCCCCAATTACTGACCTCATCTATTCAAAACTAAATTACGCAACTTGATCTACAAAGGGACACCATTTAATCAGACACTTGAAGTATTTCAACATGCCCTGAGCACACAGATGAGCGTGTAAGAGCAACACTGAGAACTAAAATTGTTATGGTTCATTTCAAGGCAGTTGGCAGTTACTAATTGAACATGTTGTGTTCTGGGACATGAATTTCTGGAGATTACTACTTGTTTTCTATGGCCCCCATTATCATTTAAGTGCTGTGAAATTGTCCTAACTATCAAGATTGCATGTAACAATGTAGAGGTTCTTTAGACCAGGCAGCAATCTAAGCTTCCATAAAGTTATGAAAAGGTTTTTGACATTATCTGTGGACCTTCTATACACTTTCTACCCCAAATAAATTTCTGCAGTAATGCAACTGAAAAACAGCAGCACCCAACCACAAAATTCATGTTTTCCCTCTACCAGATATAGCATGATATGCTCATGGTTTTACTTCAGACATAACATTCTTTCATTATTCTTTAATAATAAAATAAATAGTAGTATTAAACATATCACCAAATAAAAACTATGTTCAGCTAACACAACAGTTAGTATTTTTCAGAAGAATTTTTTAATGCACTGAAAACTTTGGTTTTATACTTGTGGTAATGCCTTGCAAGTGATCTCTCAGCTCACACTTAAAATAGCATTTGGAACAGAGCACTGTGCAGTTCTTCTGTCTTTTAACCTAGGATTCCTTGCTGCAGTCAATCAGGCAGTAAACCATAAAGCAATAAAACCAGCGTTTAACATAAGTAATACCTGAATTCTCATTCTGGTCTGGGAAACATTCTATCAGCTATATCATAGTATCTGACAAGGAGTATTGCTCCCCTCTTTTTTTTTTTTTTTTTTTTACATCTTTCTGAAAAGTAGGAAATTGCATAGAAATTGTGGTTTGGTAGTTTGTAAGTTTGGTGTCTGTACTTTGCATATATTATCTGGTATGATTGACAGTTATAAAATATTAGGCAAGAAAATTACTGATTGGCAACCAGAACTCCAGAAATCAACTGCCAAAGAGGAGAAAGGCACTATTGTCACAGAGGTAGGGGGGCAGATGAACTGTGCTGGCAGAACTGAGCACACAGGAAAATCAAGGGAAACGATCAGCAAGACTGCAGGACAGTGAAACTCCATAAAATTTTTGGAATACTGGATGATAGCTTTATCACAAATTACAGGAGTGACTGTAGTACATTACTTTGATTGATTAGTTTGATTACTTTGCTGAAAATGCATGCCCCTTTTCCTTGTCCACCAACTTCTGTTATCTTCCCTCAAATATTTAGTAATACCTTCTCGGGACACAATTTCAGGCTGGGTTGTTTTGTTTTTTTTTTAATGTGCTCAAAATAGAGGGTGTTAAGTAAAAAAGCAGACTGTAGCCTCAACACTGAATTGTAGCCCCAACACTCCATGTGGATACCAGTTAACACTATACATACTTTCAATACGTTTCAAACTACTTCAGATAACCCAAATCTCTTCTCCTAACTTTGTAATATTCAATGCACTTACCCTGGGGAGATTAAATGAATAGCCACCAGCTCCACCCAACAAGCATATTTACTGGGTATCTGCAATCCAAGGACACTGCTGACTCTTCCTGGATTGTAATGGTTGTTAAGAACTTTCAAAGCAAACAAGACTCCTGTAAACAAGAAGAAATCACATAAAGAGAAAAGTAATTGTGCCCAAATAATAAAGAAATGTGAACAACTCGACTACTGTAACTGGAGCACCATGCAGTTTCACAGCACCATGAAGCACACTGTTGCATGCCAGAACAACAGTTCTAAGCTGTTTTTTCAGTGACACTTTTCAGTGAATTAAAAATAAAAAAGGATAAAAAATTATATATCTCTATAATAGCCAATTCCAAGTTGCTTTTTAATATGCACCATAGCTACTCAGGTATTCAAAACAATACAAACATAATTTTAAAATGGGAGTTCTAGTTGAAATAAATGACAAATTATTGAACTCAAAAAACATTCCTTGAGAAAAGCCATGACTGAAAACAAGACAAATGCATGTGAAGCTCAACAGTAGGCTCAAATTCTGAATTAATGGAAAATCATCTTACATATACTCCAGAATCACTTGTGTCTGAAAAAAAAGTAGATAAGTCACCTTTAATCACAATAAATAATCATTCAATTCTAATTGACTGCAACTGTTTTATCATGCAAGCAATAGTCAATACGACAGAATGAATTCACATAATTTATTGGAACTTCCAAAATGTTTTTGAAAAAGTTCCTCTCAAGAGAAAGTGCACGCAGTTGTTTGAAAAAAAAATCTGAAAACTAGACAAGGAAAAGATTTGACATGGAAAAGATAGCAGAGTAGAACATCAATACAGATATATTAAATAAAAACATGAAATATGTTTCCGCCCCCTTCTAATGCCATAGATAACGTAATAGCCAAATTCCTTAATCTATCCAGTGATGTAAATATTCTTATTCTAGAATCAAATATAAACAGGAATATGTGTATGCACATACACACATACTCACACTATATGCTGCTGATAAAACTAGACGACTTCAGAAGCTATAAATTTACTAAAGGTGAGAATTATTCAATAGCAGCAGCGTAGCTTAGGAGTCATCTCCATCCAATCCACCCTTGGCTTACCAGAACCCTGCCTATACAGCTTCAATTTTTATTACTTTTTTTTTTTTTTTTAAAGAGTAAGTGCCCATTGGAACGGCCTGAGCTGGTGCATTATCAGGTTCCACCCAGCGGTCAAGGGGCAGGTCTGTTTCACCCATTTAAAATGAAATAATTAAAAAAAAAATCCAGGCATCCTAAAACTCTTGAAACCTGGTACAGTGAATAGGTCATAAATATGCATATAGATTGGCTCTTAAAGAGTTATTATAAGGAAAATTCTCATATTTTCTTCAACAGCTGTTCCATATACATGCCACTTGCCCCAACTGAAATCACCTATGCTAAACATCATGTTGACAATGTTGAAGGTTTAGAAAGATCAACTATGGATACTAACTCTGGCAGAGCTGCTTTAATCTGCTGCCCAAATAATCATCAAATGCACATGCACATAGGCTGCAATCCCACATTTCCAAGCTTGGAATACTCAAAAGATCTTGTAGAAGGTAAGTCACATCAGAACAGGTTGCAATATTCTATGCTGGATCTGAACTATCTATCTTGCAGAACATGTAAATTAAAATCCAATTAGGTAATACGTAAAAGCACAAATGGTTTAGTAGATTAGAGGCTTAGTTGCACTCTCTTTTTAGTTCACTAAAAAATCCAAAATACATGTTCCAGCCAATATTGTATTATGGCTGACACGAGTCTCTTGTAAGGAATGAAATGGGGACCCCACCTGGCCCATCACCACCGCTTGTCCTGCCTGCCAGCACCACCACTGTTCAGCAACTTGGTCCCTTTTGCTGTAAAGCACGCGAAGCCATAAACCTGCACCACCTGGATAACTGTATCACTTAATCTAAATTCCCTTCTATTGGTTTGAGGAAAGGAACACGTAAGCTGCTATCCGGGTAAGTGAGAAGCAGGTGACTAATCTGGTGAAAAAAGCTTACAGTGAAATCTCAACACTATCCAATTATATGGTAGTAGTACACTCCCAGTTATATAGTATAAAGAAGTTTCATGATAAATTCTTGAAATATTCACCCTTCTCGTTCCTAGTAAGAACTGGTTAGATCCTAAGCTGTTTTAAGGTATGGACCAATAGGAACATACAGGAAAAGCCTCACACGGATGGTGCATTATGTAAGTGAATAGCTAGAACAGATACTTCTTCACAACTTATAGGTCTCAACTTCTCATCCTACAGTCTAGGATGATACAAGGAAAGAGGTTCAAAAAGGAGTATGGTGGCAGCACCTCCCAGTTGTTCACAGAGAATAATATTACAGAGCACACCTCCCCCACGAATCACCCAGCAATAGTTGGGAGTACTGTATGAGAGCTAACCCTAGAAAGTCCAGCTGAGACTGGACTGAGTGCACATATTTCAGTCATTTTACTACTAATAATAAACATCCGGTAGGGTTCTGCAGTCACTGTTAGGGAACAGCAGGAGAGAGATGCTCTGCAAAGGAAGGGTATCCAAAAGGAACAGGGAGGCAGGCAGGCAGCAACTTCCCCAGTAGGGGCCCAGTCCCATAGCCCTTGAGCAAAGTGCACAGGGCAGGCTGGTGATGGTAGAGGGGGGTTGGCCAGGAGCCCAGATCACCAGGTATGTCTTTGTGACAAAGCAGGGCCAAAGAAAGTCAAGAAGTGAAATCAGGGCCCGGGTCAGAGAAGCACAAGGCCAGCCACAGATGCAATGTAGCTCAGGCAGGGACGACACAGAGGGCTTGAGCTTAAAAGCAGCTACTGAGCAATGAAGGGGAAAAGTCCCCCAGTAAGGCTTCTTTCAGCCATCTCACACACCTCTCATCACTAGTCTGAGGTGGGTTGCAGCTACCCCATATCAGAGCTGTCCTTGAACACAGGCAGCCAAACCCCTCAGGGTTGCACTCAGGGCCCCTACAGCCACCATAAGGGCCAATATTAGAACTTGTTTGGTTACCAAAGGGTGGGTGACTAGAGAAGATACAAAGCTCCAAGCAAGCAACTACCAGGATGTTCCAACTAGTACCGATTTGAGTGCCACACGGAACCTCCAGAGGTGTTGAAGCACCTTTCTCAGAGGTTGAAAAGGAGGGCTGGCCTTCTAATGCTAGGTCCCAATGACAGTGTGGGTACAGCATGTACCTGAAGTACATGCTTTAAATTTAAAAATAGGATAATTATTGACATAAGCACATACATGCACATGGATGTACACCTATCCATTTTCTGCATTCAACAAATATTGCTATATAGTATCCATAAATATTAATTTTACATATGTATATCAGACCAACTATGTGCCTTACCTGAAAAACCTACAGCACAATTCATTTCATATGAAGGATCATCCAGAATTTTCACAAGCATGAATTCCAGCACCATATAAACAACTCCAACCAGCACTGAAAATACTGCAATTATGTATGCAAACCATATGCTCTTAAGCTTTTTTTCCAGCATTATCCCCTTCCAAAGCATGGAAATCATGTTATAGTACAAATGCCAGTCATCTGCATGGTGGACAGGAGAAAGCAGTAAACGCTGCCAGTTCTTCCTGTAGAAACCTTCCTTCACACTGATACACACTTCAGGAAGTGCCCTCACAGGATTCAGAAAGAGAAAAATATTCAGTGCAAGCACCCCAAGGGTAACAGAAGGAATGTTCTGGAGTCCAACTTGAGAAATTTGATAAAGCAGCAAAAGCAGTCCAGCATTGACTCTTCCCTGCCTTCGTTGCATTATTACTTCTTATTCAAAGAAATGTGAAGATTATTCTGATTTCTGGTCTTTTGTTCAAATTCAAAACCATGCAAGTTTTGGAAATTCTGAAAGAAAAAAAAGATAACTGTTATTATACACATACAAGGGTGTTTTCAAGCTCTTCACTTCTTTTTTAACACAGCAAATTCTTCAGGCTTATCAGCTGATACCTCTTTTAAATCAGAACAAAAATTCAAACAAGAAAAAAAAAATATGACAATTTTTACACTGGTTTAAGACACAAATAAAAGGGATTTACACAGATAATCCAGACAAGCATTGTGGGGGAAAAAAGATTCTGCAGCCTCTCTTTCATGTCCCTGGACAGGCTTTACTTCATCTATAAAATTCCTGGGTGTTCTAGACACATGCGCATTAATATCTTGATTCACTAACAACTATTAAAATTTTAGGAAGGAAACCAGTTAATTCTTTTCTAGAGTCTCGGTTTTCAGGCTTCCCATCTTTGCTACACACAATTTTTTCATTAACATTTTTCCAACTTTTACAAATATTCAGTACAAGCTAAGAATGAAAATTAAGTTACAATTTCAACAGAGACACAGCTAAGCACTCCTAAATGTAAGCTTTGAAAATTGTTATTGCTTTCCTAGTGACTGGAATTCAAAGTTTAGTTTAAAAGCATGCGACAGAGAAAAAAAAAACCTGTAGGAAGAAAGCATATACAAGAACCGCACAGAATATTTCCAGACAGAGCAAAATATTAATCTCTCCCCTATTTATGCTAGATAAAATGGAGGATAAAAAAGGGCTACGAAGTTCTAGATCTAGCTAAAAATAGTAACCCTATGACTGAAACTGAGAAAGGGCACCGAGCTAACCTGTGCAAGCCTATAAAGAGAGGGGGAAGGAAGCTGCATTGGAGAATACAGCACAAGGTGACGGGGAGATTCTAGAGAGTGGAGCCACCTGCAGAAGTCAGGAAAAGACTGAATTTCAAGTAGCTCCTGAGGGCTACTTCAGCTTGGCCAGTACTATTTTTAGTTCTCAAAACTCTTCAAGGTGGCACAACAGGAGTGTGGCCACTCTTCTCCACCTCTAAGATGCCAGTTCTTTGCTGAACTAAGGAAGACACCCAATACATTATTTCACACATAAGTATCAACTATGCAAAGCCACGAAAACACTCTTCAAAACTTCACCATCAGGTTTCAAAACTTCCTGCAATATCTACACAAATACAAAATTCTCATCTCACCATCCCATTCACCTCCATTTCCATTATATTTAAAATAGTTAGCATAAGTTGCTAATACGCTCACTTTTTATTCAGTTTAAATTCCTGCCCGATTCATCACAGCAAATGCTTTCTCTGTAAACATTTTTATTAGACAAACAAGCAACAATCTAATTCTTCTGGAGGACAGCAGAGGAAAAAAACCTGACACCTTTATAAGGAGAAAAGGACAACAGCTCAAGATGCAAAGTTTAACATTCCACACTATGCCTATTAGGATTTACTAAATTGCACATTTCTACAGACCATTGGTACACTTGCAAACACTTCACTGAACATTTTTCTTTAGGTACTCTGAGTATCATTAATAATTTGATCAGGTTGCACTGCACAAAGTAAGTGAACACACTGAAAAGAAGGAAATCACCTCTGAATGATGTTACCCTATAACAGCAAAAGGAACTATGAAACCTGCACAGGTTTGAAAATCAAAGATGATCACCTAGGGGCCAGCCTACCTCCTCTACTTATATCTAAGTGAGAGGAGCACATGCTTCCATGCTAGTTCACACACATAATTAATTAACGCCACTTCTTATGGTTAAGTTATTCTAGTCTCTGGATTTCTCTTTAAATTGCATTTATGCTTATTATAGCACTTTAACAGAAGAAAAAAAGCCCTAGTAGCATCCTCAAAACAACTGTAGTAGATCAGAATGCAAGTACATGTATTTGCTACCTCAAAAGGAAATTCACAGCATTTTTTTTCTCATGGTCTCATCTCACAAGATGCTACACAACATCTAAGTCTTGCCCAAAACAGAGCGGAAACAGCAGAAACATACTTTATGCCAGGCCTCTTGAACATACAACTAACTACATCAGTGCCTTTAAAAAACAGTTTCTAATCATCACAATTTAAATACAGAGACCACAGCTATAGTCCCTACAATGTTCAAATGAGCTAAGACCTCTTTGAGTGTAACTTGATTGTCACAGATGATAATTAACATTGTCAGCCTTTGACTTTCTAATGTCAATGTTACAAAAAAAGTACTTAGATAATCAAAAGTTTAAGCAACGTCATTTTCTTTTTCCATACCACATGCTCTGATACCAGGTATACCAACATCCCCAAACTGTTCTTATATGCATCTGCCCAATCCTCTGACTTTTCTCGTACCACTGACACAGCTACATTTTTTTCCCACCACAAAACAGTTGACATAAAAACTCTTAGAATTTAAAAGTCAACATAATTTAAACGAAAGTTATGTGGAAACCCCAAAATCTTTGCCATACCATGTTGTTCAAATTGCCAAATACTACAGTCATACTTTTAAAGTTCCCCCCTGCCCCTTGATACTCTTTAATTACCAATTTAAATACTTTTAATATACACACACCTAGGAAAAGAACCCCTCATACAGCACTTATCTGTACAACAATCATGTAACATGACTGGGATTACAGTAGGGCTATGTATTATAAATCATTCCCATTACTGGTAGCAATCAAAAATGCCAGCCAAGACAGATTATATGTTTGATTATGAAGGAAAAAGATACAAGAAAACAGTAATTATTTGAGAGCCTTCAGGAATGCAACTCACTTAAAATATATAGAGCATTCAACTGTTTGAACATTCTTCCTCAGCCTCTACTCTGTTTATTAAAAGTTTAATGAGGCTTGAAACAATGAAGCACTTATTCCTTTTTCTTTTTTGAAAACATGCCACCCACTTCAAAATGTACAAATTTCCAGGACAGACTTGAAATGGACATTTGTCTTGCATCTAGTCTGCCACGTGTCTGCATTTTTGTCACCTACTCAAGATAAATGTCTGAACTAAACATTCTTGGAATTTGTTTGTTTGTTTTGTACTAACCAAGTGCAAAGCATTTAAACTTTTATTTTTACTGTGACAAGCCTCCTTGCTCACTTGGCAACCATAAAATATTATGACTTCATTTTACTGAAAAATCATGTAATAAAGTAAATATTTTAGTAAATACCAGTTAAAATGAAATGTTATACTGTCTTTTCCTATAGTTGTAATTTGAAGTAAGAGAAAAACAATCTCCCCGTACCCTTGCTCCCCCAAAAATGGACAGAATTACCCCAAAATTTTGATTTATGTTTATGTGAAGCAAAATCCAGCCCATTGCCCTTCTCCTTAAAAATAAATAACTAAATAAATCACACTGTGACATAAGCCTAGATTTTTATGAATAGACAGAGACATAAAACATCTTATTCTCACAGAGGGTGAATACAGCTGTGATCTACAGATTTTGCCATTATCTGCATGGCCTTTAGATCTGTCACCAACCTTCTCTCTAGAACTGCTTTGCAAAAATGATTTCTATTGGAGGTACCTCAGCATTGTATAACTCTCTACTGACAGAAAAAAATCCCAGGGTTACTCTTTCAGTTCAGATCAGGAGCATGATTTTGGAATAAATTTCTCCATTGCCCCCAGTGACTTCACTGTGGTTCACATCGTGGAGTGGCCTGAGTATGCATGAACTAGTCTCTTTTCAGATGAAACTAAACCAGGAGATGTGTTCCAGGAAAGAACCCAGTGGATGCCAGAAAAAATTGGGCATTCAGCCTACACGTCCAGATTAGAGCTAGACCAACATAAAAAACACTTGAAACATGTAAAGGGTGAATACCAGACCCTGGGCATAGAATCATAGAATAGAATCATAGAATGTTTAGGGTTGGAAGGGACCACTAGTGGTCATCTAGTCCAACCCCCCTGCAGTGAGCAGGGACACTGCTAACTAGATCAGGTTGCTCAGAGCCCCATCCAACCTGGCCTTGAATGTTCCCAGGGATGGGGCCTCCACTACCTCTCTGGGCAACCTGTTCCAGTGTTTTACCACCCTCATTGTAAAAAATTTCTTCCTTACCTCTAGCCTGAACCTACCCTGTTCTAGTTTAAAACCATTTCCCCTTGTCCTAACACAGCTGGCCCTACTAAAAAGACGTTCCCCATCTTTCCTATAGGCCCCCTTTAGGTACTGGAAGGCCACAATCAGGTCTCCCCGTAGCCTCCTTTTCTCCAGACTGAACAAGCCCAACTCTCTCAGCCTGTCCTCATAGGAGAGGTGCTCCAGCCCTCGGATCATTTTTGTAGCCCTCCTCTGGACCCGTTCCAACAGTTCCATGTCCTTCTTGTGCTGAGGGCTCCAGAGCTGGACGCAGTACTCCAGGTGAGGTCTCACCAGAGCTGAGTAGAGGGGCAGAATCACCTCCCTCGACCTGGTGGCCACACTCCTCCTGATGCAGCCCAGAGTACAGTTGGCCTTCTGGGCTGCCAGCGCACATTGCCGGCTCATGTCTAGCTTTTCATCCATCAGTACTCCCAAGTCCCTCTCAGCAGGGCTGCTCTCGATCCTTTCT